AAGAGTTGACGAATAAAGAATTAATTATATACGCTTCTTGTATGAAAATACCATTTTTTAGAGGAGTGTTTATGAAAGATGCATTGCCCGGTAAAATATGGAAAAATGAGACTGGAATAGTTAATTTAGAAAACAGTGAAGGTCCTGGCACTCATTGGATATGTTATAAAAAACTTGATCGAATTATTTATTATTTCGATAGTTACGGTAATATGCCACCACCTAAAGAGCTTCAACGTTACTTTCGCACAGCAAAACAAGTATTTTACAACTATAACAGAGAACAACCTGACAATACAACAATTTGCGGACACTTATGTTTAGATTTTTTAGCTAGAAGCGTTAGTCAACTTTAAGATGTCTTCCTATACGGTCTCATTGACCGGCACTTCATCAACTCTGCGCAGTATTCTATTTCCAGCTCTACGATTGCAAAAAGGAAGATTATGGGAAGCTGCATTATTGGATTTAACAACATACAATTCTATTCCAAATATTTCTGAAGGAGTCAATAACAAATTACACTATTACAAAAGCAAAAATAATTTGGGAGAATTAACACCAATGAAAGAAATTAGTTTACCGACAGGATCTTACGAAATAGACCATATTAACGAATTTATACAAAAACAAATGAAAAACGAAGAACTTAACGAACTTGTTCAAAAGGAATCAGAAAAAGAATATATAACAATAAGAGGAAATAACAATACCATGAAAGCTGAAATAACTTCTTCCTATTATATTGATTTTACTCAAAAACATTCAATTGGAGGATTATTGGGATTTTCTGAAACAACTCCAATACTAGAACCTAAAAAGACCTATTCTGGTGATAAAACTGTAACAATACTGAAAGTTAATACGATAGACATTACATGTAACATTATACAAGGATCATACAGAGATGGAGAGAATAGTCATATATTGCACACATTCTATCCGACAGTCGCCCCAGGTTTTAAGATTGTGGAAAAGCCACAAAACTTGGTGTACCTTCCCTTAAACACCAGTGTGGTTTCAGACATCGTGTTGAACATACTAGATCAAGACGGAAACCTCATAGACTTCAGAGAAGAACGTATTACGATCAGGATTCACATAAAAGCATCAACCTAAACCATGGGATTGTCATTCAAGAAGAGAGAGTTGTCGGGTAAACACCTAACTAGCTCATCATCTGCAAAAGGATTAACTACTGAAAACATTCGGTTTTTACAGGATATTGGATTAAAACTCATTGAAAATGGAAATACTGGATATAGCACAAGGACCGACATTCGACGAGACTTTATGGGAAAAGGAGTATCACACGCACAACCCCTACGCTTCGTCAAAATTGAATAATAATGATGAAATTAGAATTCCTATACAACAACAGGATATTTACACTCTTCCGTGCGAAAGTTATCTATATATTGAAGGAAGAGTAACAAAAAAAGATGGAACAGCTGGAACCACCGTTCCTTTTATCAATAATCCAATGGCATTTTTATTTGATGAAATTAGATATGAAATATCTGGAGTAACTGTGGATTCTACAAAGAAAGTAGGTTTAACAAGCACATTAAAAGGATTAGCATCTTTGACACAAAACGAGAAGAATTTGTTAAGAATTGGAGGATGGGTTGCACCCGATAACGACACAATCACCCCTGATTCTGCAGGGAACTTTGATTTCTACATACCATTGAAATTATTTCTAGGCTTTGCTGAAGATTACAGAAGAGTAATAATAAATGTGAAACAGGAATTAGTGTTATTAAGATCATCAAATGATAAGGATACTATTTGCGCAGCAACTGGAACCACTGATGCAAATTTAGACTGGAATTTAACTTTGGACAAAATCGTTTGGAGAGTACCACATGTGCGATTAAATGACGAACATAGAATAACACTGTTGAGACAACTGAAATCAGATAGAGATATTGTAATACCATTCAGAAGTTGGGAATTTCATGAATATCCAGTTTTACCTAAAACACAAAGACATACATGGACTGTAAAAACATCTACTCATTTGGAAAAAGCAAGATATGTAATATTTGCACTACAAACAAAAAAAAGGAATAATATACTAGCTAATGCCGGTCATTTCGATCATTGCAAACTAACAAATTGTAAAGTGTTTCTTAATTCACAATTTTTCCCTTACGACAACTTTAATATTTCTTTCACTAAGAAGAGGTACACTGTTTTGTATGATATGTACGCTAGATTCCAAAGTTCATACTACGGGAAAACAAACACCCCGATACTGTCTCCCGAGCAGTACGAATCAAAAGCTCCAATAATTGTAATAGATTGTTCAAAACAAAACGAATCTGTAAAGTCATCAAGTGTGGATATAAAAATAGAAATGGAGTTTGAAGAGAACGTTCCTGATGCAACATCTGCATATTGTTTAATTTTGCATGATAAAATTGTAACGTACACACCATTGACGGGATTAGTCAAAACAGTGTTGTAAATGAGTTTCACCACAACCACCAGTCGGCTATAAAAGGAGGAGCTTCGCACACCACCAATCAGTCTTTGCTCGTTCGTTGAATGGGTAACATCCTACACTACATCATGAGTAAAATGAGTTCTCCATCAGTCGTACAAAAGGATGCAGAGGAAGCAGCATTATTGGATCAAGAAAACCATCAAGAAATCGTCAATGAAATAGAAGAGTTTTTAAAGTTTCGAAAACAAGAAGACAAGGAGGACAAGGAAGAAAAAGAAGAAAAAACTAAAAAAAATGGCACTAAAAGGAAGCGGAAAGATGAAGATACAATCCCAATTAATATTTTGAAAGAAGTTTTCCTACGCATTTACTATCCTATCTCACTATGTTTGGGTAAAAGTGTAACAGCTGGACTAATGAAATCTTCGGAATATACACCTACAGTAATCTTGCAGCATGGTACAAAAATGGTTATATTTTCTGAAACGGCATGGGAATCTTTTCTAAAACATTTAAATCTAATTGAATGTTACTTAAATACTAATGTTTGCGGAAGGAAAACTAATATTCGACTTTTGGATTCTGACAATGAAATTGACATAGTAAAGAATCGTGGAACACTACAAGTACGATTTAGAGATTTAACTCAACATGAAAGTAAAATTTTACTCTCACGTGAAGAATTCTACATTTTAATGCATGCAACGTCTCCTATCTCTAGATATATGAAACAACTTGTATTCTCAAGTTCAATCATCAAAGAGTATTTAATTGATACACTGGAAAAACAACCGGAAAGCACCATATTATACGGACACGTGGATACATCTATTTTTAATAGATTGCCTCATGAAGTTGGTATGTGGAGACAGTTAAGGAACTTCGAATCAATTGATGAAGAAGCGATAGAAGCGATAGAAGCTGTTGAAGAATATGAAACTATAAACCAAGAAGAACCAGCAACCCAAGAAGTGTAATTAAAGAAAAACAGTATAAAAGAGTGACCAAGGCGCGGTGTGAATTCAGTTGAACACTATACGTGGTGGTGTGTAGATAGGGTTAAACATTATGGATATAAAACCCTGTGTAATAGAATTTCAAGCATTTCGTGATAACAAAGATGAATTTGTGATAAAAGAATTAGTGATTTTAGATTTGATTACACATGTCGTATACCCGTTTATATTTGAAGCTCCATTTTCAGTAAACCAATTGAATGACAAAGCAAGAAGAACAAACAAATGGATAACTAAACATTTTCACCATATTCAGTGGAACGAAGGATTGATAAGCTATAAGCACTTGAACAATATCATGTATCATTTTTCTAACAAGTTTTCCCATATTTATACAAGAGGATCGGAAAAAAGACAATGGATACAACAATACACATATCACGATGTTTTCGACATAAGAATGGACAAGGATCATCAAATTAATTATGGACCTATTTGTACTTTAACAGATCACTCTTATCGCACAGTAACACAATGTGCACTACAAAACGCATACCGATTAGCTAATTTTCTAGTTCTCCACTATTGGGACAACAATAAATTCAAACAGCAACAGTGGAAGTATTACGAAGGAAATAGCAGTGGAGGGGGGAACGTGTGCTATAAATACAGTGGACAGTCTCAGGATCCTCATCAGTATTACTCCAGACATCGCAGAGGCAACATCTCACAGGGTAGTCCTAATCAAGAAAATGGCTTCACAACAGTTTCTCCAGTCTTTGGTGGATCAGTTCAACACCCAGTCCAAATCCAGCATTCTAAGTACTAAGAAATGTCACGAATTGAAGGAACACAAACACTACATCGTTCACGAGCTGAAGAAGACAGAAACTTCACATGGAGACGCAATTTTAGCATCACTGAGCGAGGCACCGTTTTCACCAGGTGATGAACCGAAATTTCAAGTTTATCTTCCAAGACGATTTGTGCAGCAACTACAAAACGAAGACCTGCGAGGTATTCAACCAGGATCCCTCTATTTGGTATCACACGGAGTTTGCGGAAACAATTCCACTGAACTATCTCTACACATCACCCATCAATGTTAGTTTTAAGTTTTTTTCTGTAAATAACCATCTATGTACATATGTTTGTTAAATGTTTTTGTCATTAAAAAAATAAATAAAAAAATTAAAAGAGGAAACAACATATCAGCATATCATTAATTCTATATGCTGATATGTTGTTTCTTTTTTTAAAATTCAAACAAATGACCTTGAACTTTTTACTATAAATAACAGGTCTTACACGCAGTTGCTCTCAGTCTTGTTTAAACAATTCACCGAGCATCATGTCACAGCGTAAATACAATTTACCTTTTGTTTACAAATCCAAATACGATTTGGATAACTATTGTTGTAATTTAAAATGTTTTAGAAAGCCTGAAAGTAAAGTTGATGGAAAAGTTTGTAAAAAATGCGAGTCTGTTGGCTATTGCAAATGTAGGTGTAAAACATATCAAGACAAGCATCAAAATTACATACACGATCTAACACAAATGGTTAACCTACTATGGAAAAATGTAGACTAACTTGTGGCAGATGCATGAGAGCTGCTGACTCTTGCACTATAAATAGCAGCTCACAACACATTGCTTTTCATTCTTGTTTTAGAATTCAGTCGAGCAACATGTCACAGTGTAATTCCAATTCATCTTTTGATCCCAAATCGGAATACGATTTAAAATACTATTGTTGTAATCTAAAGTGTTTCAAAACACCTGAATGTCAAGTAGATGGAATGGCTTGTAAAAAATGTGAATCGTTCTCCTATTGTCAATGTAATTGTAAAACGTATCAAGAAACACGGAAACATCACTCACAAGACAAGGGACGTAGAATCAAAATACATTTAAAACGGATGGAGTGATACCCTCATGATGCTCTCCCCCACCTCTACTACTTTCCCCCACCCCTACTGCTTTAGCTCCGCCCACTTCGTCAGGGACCTGCACTTCTTTACACGCAACAGTCACTTCGCATCCAGCTCTTCACCAGTCAACTCAACCTTTCTCGTTTACTTTGCACAAGATGGCCAACCTACAACAACAACAACAACAACAACAACAGTGGACAAGTGATATTGAAGACTCTGACCTACACCAAGCATGCATCGAAGCAGAAGAGCAGGAGCGAAAACGAAAGGAAAAAAAACTACTTCAACTGCTAGAGGAGGAGAAAGAGATTCGACGCAAATTTGATCGTGTTTGGTGCGCTCAGCCTCGAGACAACATCGAATGGGCCGAGCACAATGCAGACATGGCAAGATGGAAAGAGCTCCATAATACAATAGAGGAGTTGAAGAAGTAAACATCCAAGTACAACAAGCGTCGCCGAACTACACAAAACGGCCTTTATAAAGGCCACCAATAAACTCATTCGTTTTACACTTTAGCAGACGCTCACTCTAGATACGTACGTTCGCACATGTTTTCCTTATTTATTGTAATAGTATGTAAGTTATTGTCATTCCTCATGTTTTATACAAATAAACAATAAACAAAACAAGGAAGCTATCCTACACTACAACTGTAGGCTAGCTTCCTTTTTTTAAAACACAAACAAATGACCTTGAACATCATATGATCATCCTTCGTGACGTCACCTCAAATCCGCTATAACTACGCCATTTCCGCCCCTATCTTCAAAACAGCTGATGGCGGAGAAACCCTAATAATGGTCTACTATAATATTGTGAACGGGTGGTTTTAAGCCCACCTTAAGCCCTAAGGCCCTTTTTTATATAAAAAATGATCCATCCCTCAAATTAGGAGAAGTTCATCAATAATTAAGAAAACCCTTAAGTAATACGTCTTGCAATATTTATTACTTTAACAGTTATCAAATGTTGACAAAGATAACTTTTCCAACATGGGTGTCTTCTGTTTCATAAAGATCGGTTGGAACAAACTTAAGATAAGAATTTTTATGTAAAAAATACAAAAGGGGGGGGATATGTGGTTAACGAAGCGATTTCAAAAAAGGTTATACTCTTGATTTTCTCTTTGTTTACCCATAAAACCATTTCCCGGAGTTTGGCTGTTTACTTATGGGACACCCTGTATATTTGTCCGTTTGCACGATAACTTGTGTATAAATAATGCTATTTTGTTGTCATTCGGTGCAAACGTGTAAACTAACGTATATTTAAAAGGGTTTGCAAACCAGCATAATCGGACTATGGTAACGGTTTGCTATTGGGGGGTTTATAGGGTAAACATTGATTTTTCTCATTTTTTACCTTAAAAACATTAAAGTTCGCAAATTTATTTCCACAGTATTTTGTAGAGCTAAAACAAATAATTAAGTATATGGAAGCATTGTTATGCGTAATGTTTTTGGAGAAAACTCCTAAAAAAATTTCAATTTAAAATTCTAGTTATTCTTACGAGGAATTATATTATAATTTATTTATGTATTATTTATTTTAATATTATAATTAAAAGGTTGTAGTTTGCTTGTTTAGGGATATATTGATCAAATTTGGCATTTTTATTTCATATTAAGCTTCAAATTTTCAATAAAAGAACGCTTTATCTATATTTTTTGTTTGAAGGTCATTGTTGCTCATTGTTCACGTTTTTCAAAATATTATTTGGGACATGTCCCATCACCGGTTATTAAAATTAAGTTTCACAGCCTCAAAAGCTCTATTCTGATCCTGCATTTAGTTGGGAAGAGAAAATAACATTTCAAGATAATATATGACTAAAGGGGCCAATAACAATGTTTATAACAGTCAAGAGAAGAGGCCAAACAAATTACATAAAAGTGTTATAACGGTTTGATAGCAATTTGTTTAAATCCCTGTTTGTTCCTCTCAAAGTTGACCTGTTTATGGAAAGCATAATCATTAACAATTCAATGAATTAAATTAAACTCATAAGTGTGCCTTCTCAGAATAGTTTTAGCAATATTCAGATATGCATGAGAAGACGAACACTATATCCACTCAGCTACCCAGCCAATCATATGCAAAATCAAAGTACAGTATTCTGGTTTAAACTTGTTCTTCGAAACGGTTTTCGTCTTTGAATCTCAATACAAATTCATAGGTTTTTAATATTCGTATCCTTTTGAATATTATTGCATCATTTTAACTTCCAGCTAACAATTTATATTATTGTACGTTATATATCTGAACAGCTGATTAATCTCCTATTTCGCGTATTTAAAAGTCTATTTATGAGTATTTAATTTTGAACTGATCCCAAGTTTATTTATTTATTTATACATGGTAACACCATTTATACAATAGTAGTTAGCATAATCAATTACAAGATGGCATAATTTACAACGACACTACATTACTAATGCAATTAATATCAAACAAAACTGACTGAACTTGATAAAAAAAACTTTGAGTAAGTATGTTATTCAACGAAAAACTAACAGACAATAATAACAGGCAATGAAAGGCTATAATGACATGTTATAATAACAGGCTATAAATACGGCAAGCGGTAACAGGCAATAAAATAAATGCAATAAATAACAGACAATAAAATACAGAAGTAATAGAATAACAGGCAATAAAAACACGCAAAATAATACAGACAATAACATGCAATAAATACGGACAATAATACAGGCAGTGAATGCAGTTAACGATGGTGTCCTTTCAGATTTATGTAGATTTTTTTGGCGGTCACAACTGAGGTGTTCCAAAGGTCAACGTGCGGGGACAGGAGGTTCCCAATCCTATGGAGACGGGGGATCACACTGCTGTGCTCATAATTGTTGGCGTAGGCTTGAATAGCGAAGAGGTTCCTTGAGCGAGTTCCTCCCGGAACTCGAAAGTTAATCCGACCAAGCAGCTCAGGGCTTACGACATCACCATTTAAAAGATTTACCAGAAAAGAAACATCACTAATCCTCTTCTCAAATGTAAAGATTGTAGTCCCAATTGAATTTCGATGTCGCTGATGGGAATTGCTGTATAGTTGTAACCCATCTTGAGTCCAACAACTCGAAGAAACCTTCTTTGGATTTTCTGTAGGCGGTCGATTTGTCCAATTGAAAGTTTAAGTTTTGTCCAAAGTTTAACTTAAGTTCAAGAAAATGAGGGTCGAAAAGACACTTAAGGACCGAGTGATAAACAATGTTTTTTTATATACTTTGTCAATGTTTGAGATAACTAGCTAAAAAAATTTCGCAAATTATTTACCTTTATATAGTCGTCTTAAAAATTATTTGTCTTGTTTTCTTATTGTATACGAACAGCTGTTCGTCATGTATAAGCGTGTATTACTCCGTAAACTTAATAATAAATTCAAATTAGTAAAACTTGTTTAAATTTCGATTAATGTTAGTTTCGATAGTACAACAATAAACAACAAAAAGATTTCCATGACGATTCAATAATATTTAATCAGGACTATTTTCTTCCGCAGTATCAGTCACCCAACAAAGTGGGCTTCCTTGCACAGATTATAGTCCAGAAAGCCTTACTTTGGCGCACACCAGTATTCCAACCAAACAAACAAAACAGCGTGCTTTTATTATGCACGTATTCCGCGTACGCTTGAAAATAAGTTGGCAACACTAAGATATTACGACTACGATCAGCTGGTGCAGCGTTTCCCATTTCGTTCAATGTTTGGATTTAACCTAACCTAAAAACGTGTTGTACAGTGTTTGAAAGAATACTGATTTATATTATATATAGTAACTGTAGGAAAAATGTATTGTGTAACACGAGTGCAAACTGCACTAGTTACACAAATAACTATTTCAAGCCTGATTTTGTAAAAATTTGGATTGACCACGATTTGAGCTTGACATTATTTATGATGGCCACAACTGTATCCCTCCGCTCGTGATCCTCTGTTTATCAATTGAAGATTCCACTGGAAAGCCACAGTTAATGACCTATGTCAGCTGAATCTCTATCTATAATATATTAAGCCTCGATCGTGCTCGAATGTGGTCGCACCTCGTTTAGCAGGACTAGTAAAATATTCAGACTGTTTGGATCAGCGAAATATTGGTTTAGGGAGTTAGAAAGTTGCATGGTTTCGTAATGAATTTGATTGGTATAAATAATTTGTATATTTGTAAATATTTTTATCGGTTATTATTTATTTTATTGTAAAAGGTGTACATTATTAGTTTGTCACAAGATATAGGGTTTTACAAGAAACGTTAAATATAAATTTGGTTTACGAAATTCAACCCTAAACTCAATAGCAGTCGGATTCAACTTGCCGTGATAATTTAGACTCCGTACAACATTTTAAGATATTGTATCCCTTGAAATTTTCCCGTTGATCTGTATCGCTGGTATCTCCAGCGATTTAAGTGTAATTGTGTTTTTTTACAGAAATACACAGGGAAACCTTTAAAAGAATTTATTTAAAACTGTCTGTATCAATACAAAAAAACTTGTTTAGTGAAGGAAAACTTATTGCAAAAATATTGAAAACAATCAGTATTAGTTTTCGAGTATTTATTTGAGATTAGTACCAAAAATATAACCAATTTTATTCTTGTGATTCCATATTTTGCAAAGCTTTATTTTTGCTTCTTGTGACACACAATTTTTGAAAATGTTGAAGGAATACAGAGTTTTCAGTTGTACACTTCTGTGTTAA